ACAGATTTGTATGTGCAATCATAACTCTAAAATCGAGAATTTGTGTGCATTGCGTTCGTGTAGCTTTTATGAGTGATGTCTCAATAAGGCTGATGAACAAACATATTAAGAAGCAAACCTCGCTGTGTGCTCTTCAGGAAAGTGGGACTAACCCACTAGAACATAGTGATGACCATCAGTGGGTTTGGGGAAACAAATGTGGGATCGGAAGAGGAAGAGGAAACAGACAATACTACCATCTGATTCTGTATATATGGCTTGGAGGCTATACTCAAAACACAGGAAAAAAAAAAGACTTTCTGGTACAAACTCATAATCCTAGTACTGGGGAACTAGAGATATAAGGATCCCTCACAGAGCAGGGAAGGGGAAATAATACAGCTCCTTTCTTTCTGTTTTGATGTCTTACATTTTTTTTCTCTGGCCATACAATTCAATCACCTGTTAGAATTCCATAGTGAACAGCAAAGGCAGAAGCAGCCATCCTTTAGGAAAGGCTTCAGCTTTTCTCTGTTGAATATAATGTCATCATTAGACATGGGATGTATGCTTTAATGTGTTCAGGTAAACTACTTTCAAATAAAAAATAGTTGAGGGTTTTTATTGTAAACGGTGATGAATGTTTCCAAATAGGTTTCAGGATCTAGTACTATTGTGTGAATTTGTACTTTGCTGTGTTAATATGGTGTGCCCCGTTTTTCTTTTTTATTCAGGTGTAGCAATCCACCCTTCCATAACGGGGTAAATTCTGCTTTTTCATGGGAAACGAGTCTCATAAAGCCTTGGGAATTCCGGTTTGATAATGTATTATAGAAGAGCTCCACATCTATGGGCATCAGAAACGCTAGCTTCTTATTTTGTTCGCCTGCCATACTCTGTCTTGCTTTGGTCATTAAAAAAACACTGAACCCATTACACAAATATGGGTGTGTTCCCTATGCTAACATTTTTGAAAATGTTAGAAATTATTTAGACCTTTGAATATTTTATAAGGTAAAGTATGGTTGAATGCTGATCCTTAAGTGAGGCATCTGTAACACATACCCTTAAATTCCAGGGGGCGTTATCAAGGAAGAGGGTGTGAAACAACCGTAGGACCCGGAGGCTTGAAAGGTCAGTACCAATGCTGTTCTCTGGCTATATCATAACATTCCTGATTAATATATCTTACCTGCTCTAATTTTGAGATACACTATTGATAGTTATTACACATTATTATTAAAGAATTCTCATATCATAATGTGATATTGTTCACTATGTTTTTATTTCTATTTTGAATGATAATCTATGCTATTGTTTACAATTTACACTTATTCACTTTTAATGGATTATGTTCACTGTGAAGTGGGTGTGTGTTGAGCATCGACTAGTTGATTGCACTCTTTTTGCTCATTTAAGCATTTAGTGTTAATGATTACATAATTCTAAACATTTTTGATTAAAGCTATGGCTATGGAGACACTGCTGCCATTTACTTAAATTCTTCCTACTTATTCACGGGAACCTGGAAATGACAGAGCTAGATTCATCCCAAGCTCATCACAAATCTAATACTATTTTTGAATTGGTCATTACTTTTCCTGGATTTACAGACCACACAACTTTGTTCACTTACAGAATCACAAAATCCCAAAATAAAAGTGAGTGAGAAGGATTAAGTAACTAAGCATGCCTTCCGAGTGAGAAATTTCTCTCAGCCTTACAAAAACTGGAGACCCAAACACTTGAATCACTTGATGACAGCAAAACATGCAGGGGAGGCATCATTTTTGCTTTCACATGCTTCTAAACATTTAAGAAACTTGCCTTATTGTGAAGGGTATTCTGCTTTAAATTCCAAAATTTGGTATAATTCTTTTCACTGGTCAATAGTTCCATGTCATGCACATACACACACACACACACACACACACACACACACACACAAAGATTTTGAAATAGTCATAAAGATGAAGAGAACTTAGTCTGGGACTAGAGACAAATGTGAATACGCTGTATTCATCACATAAAAGAGGAGTGACCAGACCAATAAAAATGATTGGCTGACTAGTAGACAATGCGGAGAAAACTCTCTCAATACAGAGAGATGTGAAACTGGAATTTAAAATAAAAAAAGAAGCTTCCAGGGGAGTAATGAGGCCAATATAAAAACATAAGTATTTTGATGAATGAAAAATGGAGAATTTTTGTCTTTTTTATTGAAAAAAATCTTTTTCATAATTTTATCTTTCCCCTTCCCCAATTCCCCCAAGAATCCTCCCCACCTCTCTATCCACACAATCTTGTGTTCTTTTTCTCTCGTTTTTAAAATAATGAACAACACACACACACACAAAAGCAGAAACTAAAATATACAAGCAAAGTACAAAAAAAAAAAAAAGAAAAGAAAAGAAAGTTCAACAAAGGAATGTGAGAATGTGAGACAAAAAAAAAAAGAAATCTACAAAAATATGATGGGCAACTATTCCTGTGTGTATAGTATATACGGTGAGAGTCTCCATTGGAGAAAACAAATCTTTTCTTTGCCAGCAGGTATCAATTTCAGATAGCGTCTTGGTTAAGGCTAGGAGGTTCTTGGTTAAGGTAGGAACCACTTCCCCTCTTAGTACTGGAACCCCACCTGGTTTAAAGCAGTGCAGCCCTTGTGTGTACTGCCACAGTCCCTATCAGTTCATATATGTATCAGTCCCCCTGAATCTGGAAGACCTGGAGTCATCCGCCACCTCAGGCTCTTACGATCTTTTTGCCTCCTTTTCCATATAGATCTCTGAGCCTTGAGGAAATACAAACATCCCATTTTTGGCTGAATTTCTCAATGTCTTTCACTCTCTCAATTCCCACCACCAATTCTGTGGTGAAGAGAAAAGGGGGACAGATGTTTATGACTCAGGATGATCATGAAAAATCAAACTTCTCTGGCTGTGGCACACAGAGAAGCAAGAAAGAAATAACAAATATGGATAAATGTAAGATCTAACTGTCTTCATCATAAACCCCTCATGTTTATAAATGTCTACAAATATTTGTAAATATTATAAATATTGTAAATATTATAAATATTTACAACTGGGCAGCAAAGATGGATCTTTTAAAACAAATCATGCTTAATGATAAAAAAGGATTTTCAAAGATAACCAATATCTTTTCATTACCTGAACTGCACAGAGAAGATAAAATGTTCTACATGTTAAAACTTCTACATGTTAGATAAAAGATAAAAACATCTACATGTTCACTAGCACTAATGTATTTTTTTATTTTTTAGTATTTATATATACAAAATAAGGTATCATATAAATGGGATCTGTATACATACACAGAATCCATTATACTACAAATACTCCTAGTACACATAGTATGAAGCTACTGTTTTTCTTTGTTGCCTATATTTTTCTGCATGACAAAAATTTTGTAGTGCAGAATTTTTTTCAATTGTCAGCAAACTAAACCTTTCACATTTGGAAGCTTCCAAGTTTCATACTTGCACAGCAGTCATACACAACTTCCAAAAATCATCATTTCCCTTGAGATCTTTTAAAGTTGACATTAAGTACAATAAATTGCAAGATGGTTGTTAATGGCTGATGGGGAAAAAATGTAAATCAAAACATAACTACAAAAAATTGATAACATTAAAAACTCACGAAAAACGTATGTGGACAAGTAATAATCTAGTGGGAAGAGAGTAGTTTATTTAGCTAGCTCTTGTACTCTGTGTGTGAAACAGGTACATACCTGCACAGCTGGAGTTGGCTGGATGACTGATACAATAGCTGCTCAGCTATCTTTAACTGTCAGTGGCAACATAAGACAGTAACAGGTAAACAGCAATAAGCAAAAAGGGAGAGATACAACACTCAAAAATGTATAGCAAGAAGTGGGAAATAGTAAGAGCTGGAGAGGACAGGAACTCCACAAGGAGAGCAACAGAACAAGAAAATTTGAACACAGGGAACTTCCCAGAGACTCATACTCCAACCAAGGACTATCCGTGGAGATAACCTAGAACCCTGACAATGCAGCCACTTCTGATGAGAACTGATAGACTAAGATCAGAAATAAGGAGAGGAGAACCTCCCCTATCAGTGGACTTGGGGAGGGGCATGCATGCAGAAAGGGGGGAGGGTGGGAGAGGGAGGGGAGGGAGGGGCTTATGGGGGGATACAAAATGAATAAAGTGTAATTAATAAAAGTTAAAAAAAATCATCATGTTAAGCAAAATAAAAAATAAAAAAAATGTATAGCAAGGTTCTCAGTGGGTTTTGATTACTTCCATCATCCATCACCCTTGCTTTCATGCCTGGAACATGAGCAAAATATTGATCATGTTCATCACCCTCTTTGAAACATAAACACAAAAGTAATACAGCAACAGCAAGAAGGAAGACCCTAGTCCGTTGCAATGACTTGGATTCTAACGTATTTTCTAGTTCTGCACTCTAAGATTTCTTATTTTCATAAATTTCAAAAATGTTAGTTGTCAATTAATGTACTTCATGTATAAAATAGTTATAAATAATACTGATTCAGGACAACAAACTTCAAAGTGAATGAATTATTTTATTCAGATATTGGCATTTCCCCCACATTTGTATTCCTGTTGTACAATTCTTTTGTGCTTATGAAGACAGCTGCATAGATGCAGTTGTAAAGATTACACTCCAAAATCCAGTGAAATAAAATCCATCTTCCATGGTGAGCCAAACACTTTAGTTTATATCAGGAGGAAAATCACATATTGTAAGATGTTTTCAGTTGTCCAGCACACAGTTGTCAGCCATTTCTTGGTCTTGAAGGAAATGGATGGGGATTCCAGTTCAACTTGCTTTTCCCTGCTCATTCCTGGGGTGGAGAATTTGTGGTAGAGACTAGCAGCAAGAAGAATGGCATTTTCTGTAGTTACAGCAGCCAGAGCCATATCTACAACCATACCTGGAACCATATCCACAGCCATAGCTGGAACCATATCCACAGCCATAGCCATAGCCAGACCCACAGCCATAGCCATAGCCAGACCCACAGCCATAGCCACAGCCATAGCCAGATCTGTATCCACAGCCAGAGCCAGAGCCGTAGCCACAACCATATCCACATCCAGAGCGAGAGCCGTATCCACAGCAAGAGCCAGAGCCATAGCCACAACCATATCCACAGCCATAGCCAGAACCACAGCCATAGCCAGAACTACAGCCATAGCCAGAACCACAGCCACAGCCATAGCCATATCTTGAGCCATAGCCACAGCCAGAGCTGTATCCATAGCCTCCACAGGAGTTTCTAGAGTAGTTGCAGCACATGGTGTCAGAAGGTGAGGTTTCAGCTGAGAAGCAGAAGGATGTTTCTGAAGTGTGAATGTCAGCCAATCTCCCTGGACTTTTATACCTGACAGAGATCGATGGCTCATGCCTCACATGCGCTCTGTTCACTTGTTTTACAACCATGTGTCTAAAATGGATTCATTCTCTAAAAATCCAGTTAGGAATTCGCAATGTACTTACTACTACCCTAGGAACTTAAAAAGGCATTCAAGAAAATAATAAATAATAATAAACTCCAAACAGTGAAGCTAAAGGAATGATAACTTACCCTCTATAAATTCGTTTCAAGACCATGACACAGCATAACACATCACCAAATATGTATGACCAGTAAGTATGTGTTTGTGATTACGTTTTTCAAGGTCTTTAGAACTCTCAACTGTATAACACCATTAGTGGTAGGGAGTGTCACTGCCATCAGCATTAACAACTGTAGAAGAAGAATCATTGCACCAGCCTTGTTTTTACCAAATTACTTTTCATCGATTTTTGAAAAAGACTTGAGTTTTTAGCCTACATCTACAGCTGGAATTCAATTCTTCCTGAGGGATGACTTGTTTACTTCATCATTCCCAGCATGAATTCTTTCTATTAAATTCCTTACACATCAGTTATAAAAGGAGACTTAATCTTCTCATTTACTGACCAATGTTTCCAAGGGTTCCCAACTAAAGGATTAAAAATATTTTGGCTCAATATTTTTTTATTGTTCTGCTTCATTTAAGTAAAATTCTTAAACATGAGTCAATCTTGGCAGCTGCTCAAAGCACACTCATGCTAATGCAGTATATATATATAAATATAATTACTTTTCTCTAAAATATAATTAGCCAACAGTGAATGCCTCCATATGGGTGGAGTGGATAGGTAAATGAAAGATTTTGATGAGAGGATGTATTCTAAGAGACTAAGTGTATAAGAGACATAGCTCAATGTAATAAAAACAATTTACAGTAATCTCATAGCCACTACCATTACAAATAGAGAAAAACTCAAAGCGTTCCCACTAAAACCAGGAACAAGACAATGGTATCCATATCTACTCAATATAATGCTTAAAGTCTTAGCTACAGCAATAAGACAACTGAAAAAGACCAAATAAAGACAAAGAGAAATGAAAGAAGCCAATGTGCCCATATTTGTAGGTGATATGATTTTATACATAAGAAACTCTATAAAGACCTCATCAGAAAATTTCTACAGCTGAAAATTTCTTTTAAAAAAGTAACAGCATACATAATTAACAAACAAAAGTCAATAGCCTTTCTACATGCAAATAACAAACATACCAAGAAAGACATCACATGACATTTAGAAAAGAAATTGAAGAAGACATCAGAGGATTAATATTGTGTAAGGAGTATTACTTAGTGTCCTATTGCACAGAATGATAATCATAGTAAATAACTGAGTCATATTTACCAACATTTCTAAAAGAAGAGATTTTAAGTTTTCACATTATATACTAAAAAACTATATGGCTATTCACATGAACCTTCTTGGTCTAAACAGTCCATGGAATTTTCCAGGTTCTAGTCTCATTTCTCTGCTCAACCCATGATTCAATAGTTCATTTAATGCCACTGTTTCAATAAGTTTTGCAAATGTGTGGTGGTTGATATTTCTGGAATTCTATTTTTATCTTTACCTTTAACTTTGTGCTATCTTCATCAACTGTTTCCATGATAAGGGTTTCTGTTAAGTGTCTCTTATGACTCTTCTTCAAGTTTCTCTGTTTGGGGATTTTTCTGGGCTGATATTAGTATGTACCTTCAGTTTTTCATTCCACAACAGTAGATTGTATGTCTTAACAGTGATTCAATTACCATAGATGCAAAAACAATCTCTAAGCTGAAGATCCTCTTATCAATGAGACAGAAGATGTATAGAAGTTCAATCAGTTTAGTATTAAAAATAATCTCCCAGACCATGAAAATCAAAACTATGATATATGTGAAAGTCAATACAAAATTTTTGTTTTGTGGGGTAATGTTCAAAGAAGATAGAACTTAACTGTGGTACTGAACTCATTGTATAATATTTCAGGGAGGTGTTGTAATATAGTTACCAAGATACTATTATGAACCTAAAAATAACAGAAAGGGTAGTTATCACATTCCATGCTGCCATCACAAGTCTGTCAATTCTCTCCTTCTCCAGGCAAGTTATAATTTTTTCTTTAGTAAAAGTCTTTGTGTTGATGTCCTTATAAGCTTGTTCTAAAAAGAATTTTACCATTTACTTGTAATTATGCCTGTTGTCTGTGTGTCTCTGCATGTTCACAAGTGCAGTTGCCCACAGAGACCAGAAGACTGTATGAGATCCCAGAGCACAGCAGTTACAGGGTCTTTTGGGCCACCTGATGTGAGTGCTGGGGGACTGAATTTGATCCTCTGCACAGTGTCTACCAAGCCCTTGAAACATTTTACAAACATGTCATACAATGATGCTCTATCAACATGTGGTATGACGTACTCTGTATCATCTATAGCCACAGCCAGAGTTGTGTCCTCAGCTTATCTGGAGCCATAGTGACAGCTATATACATAGTATCCATAGCCCCCACAGCAACTTCCAGGGTGGTTTCAATATAAAGTGTCAGAAAGTTAGGTTCCAGTGAAGGGGCAGGTTTCTTCCCAAGTTTGTACCTGCTATCTTACAAACACTAAATGGCAGAACAATCATACTGATTCTGGTAAGTGTGCACACACACATGTGTCCTCGTGTGTGTGTGTGTGTGTGTGTGTGTGTGTGTGTGTGTATAATGAATATATATTTATTTAATGTCTAGTATTATGAATCACCCACTCAGCTGCTAATGAGAAGAGCTAGTCTCTTCATAGCTATAGCATTTTTCTCAAGAGAACACATAATTCTAAGTTCTTTCAGTTTTACTGGAGAACTATGAGTGGCTCTCAGTACCTAGTCAGCATCCCATGACAGTTTCAAATCTACATGGAGTTTACAGCACTTAGCCAGGCATCCAAGCACATGACTCCAAAGGTTTATTCTATGCAGCAAGGCTCTTCAGGAGATTAGGCAGTGTGTTAAGAATGCAACTAGGAAATTAGCTTGACTAATTTCTTGCATTGGTTTGCTGGTTGCTAATTGCTTCATAGGTGACTGCACAGGAACCTGAGGACTCTCCCACGAAAACTCATCTTTGTGCTTCATCTTCCCATAAATTCACATAGCCAACAAAACAACATTGTATTAAGATGCTTTTCACTCCTAGGGCTACCGCTCAATAAATTTCTCATCAGTACTGTGTACAGATTTAACTCAAACTAGGATGGAAGATTAATGTCCTCTGCAAAGAGCAGATGAATGTTTTGTAAGTCATAAATTCTTTCAGTTATTTTATCTGTTGAGAATGTGAGAGATGTAAGTACTAACTATATGGAAGTTAATGAAGAAAATATTGAGGAACTTAACATAGCTATTACCAAACACAAGTATGTATTTTTCTCCTTTAAACTACACAAAATCCTCATTTTTTTACCATCAGAATATTGAGCATTAGGTGTGTCAGGGATTTTCTTATGTCAAATAGTGACCCATCTTTCTCTGTAATTACTCTTCTGTAAAACACACACACACACACACACACACACACACACACACACACACACACACTTTAGCATCTAATCATCCTAATATCATATAAAGAAAATTTATTTCAATGTTTTGTCCCCATGGATCTCTTCACTCCCACTTTTATTCCAGGATGATCTATTTTTAAAGCACAATCATGTGATTATCATCCTAATCTGTACTAACATGCACATACCTAGTGTGACCAAGATTTAACTAGATAATTTAGAGAACAGAAGTGGCTGTTTTCTACTATTACATAACAAATTTTCATTTAAATTAGCAACTTAACACAGGATTCTTTATTCTAACCTTTGTTCAATGTTTGTGAATCGGAAGTCTAGATAAAGCTGTCTGGGATGTGCATTCAGAGTCTCCCAATGCTGCGATAAGCAGCCAGAACAAGTTCAAACTTTATTTGCCATATAATTTAATTGGTAAGAAAGTGCCCACCCCCAATGTGTGAAACATGCTTGGAGCAAAAAATTCTCTTTTTGTTACCTAAAATTCAAATAACACACTTGTGCTTTGTCTGCCAACCCCAAACTTTATTACATAAGTGATATCCTCCACTCTCTACTAGGATTGAAGTGAAGCTTCTTTCTTTCATAAAAGGACAGGCCATGGAAGGCTGTAGGTCCTTAAGAGACATCTTGGCATCAAAACAAAACTCCTGCCTACAGATTGGGAAAGAATCTTCACTAACCCTTTATCTGACAGAGGACTAATATCGAGTATATACAAAGAACTAAAGAAGCTAAAAAGCAGCAAACCAAGTAATCCAATTAAAAAATGGGGAACAGAGCTAAACAGAGAATTCTCAACAGAGGAATATCGAATGGCAGAGAAGCACTTGAAGAAATGCTCATCCTCATTAGCCATCAGGGAGATGCAAATCAAAACGACCCTGAGATATCACCTTACACCCATCAGAATGGCCAAAGTGAAAAACTCAAAGGACAACACATGCTGGAGAGGTTGTGGAGAAAGGGGAACCCTCCTCCACTGCTGGTGGGAAT